GAGAGAGAAATTTGAGTTTTGTAGAAGGGAAGCAGGCTTGTCAGACCCTCCTAAATTGAAGCTTACATGTTGATCGCCAGTATGGTAAATTCCACACATGGTGCGTGTGGTGGAGATTTGTTATGTGTGATTCTGCACCATATGATAGTGGGACCATCATATTAATTACCAAGAGATAGCATGACTGTCTCTTGGAATTAAAAACCTAATGTTTACTGTAGTTGTTGCAATGAATTAATTAGAGCAAACATATTAAAAACCCATTATTTGTTGATAGTGGAAGTTTTTAAGTGGACTACGGTCTTGTGGTTTTTCTCGTATCGGGTTTTCCATGTAAAAATTTTGGTGTTGATTTATGTGATTATTCAATTATATTTATTGATTGTTTGATCTTGATTTTGATTGCACAAAAAGAAAAAAAAAGTTAGAACTTGTGAATTGATCCGGCTACATTGATAACCAGTTATTTATTCATAGTTTTCCCTGCACAAATGAAAGACTAAAAAACTATTAAATCAGCATGCTAGCTGATGGTGTTATCCGACTCCAGTCATTAAGCCTGCTCAACCTTCTTTCGTAACATTTCCGGATCTGTTTCTGTTGAGAATGATCATGCTTTGGAAGAAAAACAAAAGGACATTTTTCCTGATATAAGGGAATGGGATTAGCTATAAAACCTCTGCCTTCTCTTTTCTTTTCCATCCAACTTTATTTATGTGTTTTGTAGTAAAAGAGATGTGTTTTTATTCAGGAAGTAATGACCACTGCGAGATGAGATAAGAACTGAAACAGGTTTCAGATAAATTCTGAAGGACCAACATATAAATTCTCAAAGCAAGATATTGAAATGGAGATGGAGCATATGATTAAGATAATTGTTACTGTATTGTTGTATTCATATTGATTTTGATAGAATTGTACATGCTGTATATTTACAACTCCGGCAAAATTGCTTTACAAAATTGTACTGAACGATGGTGAAAGCAAAGCTGTCCATCTTGAGAAGTGCATCAACTAGTGGTTGAGAGTATTGAGAATGGAGACTCTGGCTTTCACCAACTTTCTGTAAACGCCCTCCAACTCCTCCTCTGCTTCCTGAAAGCTGGACTCTAATGCCTCGAGTCCTTTCAATACATTTTGCACTTGTACAGGATTGATGTCTTTGCTTGACTTCAGGACAAGCAATTCAGCATCTATCTTTTCCAATTCTGTGGCTTCGCCTTCGCATGATACACTCTTGGATTGAAATAATTTTGAAATGACAGGCCAGCCATAGGAGCTTGATCTTGCCTTTGGCTGAGAAACCAAGGACAAGAGAGATAGGAAAATTTCAAGGCTTATTTCTTTAACTTCTCTTAGCATGCCGACAGCATCTACTGCTGAAGTGTTTTTCTTTCCCACGCTCTTCAAATTTCTGAAGCATTTGCGGATTGTTTTATTAATTTGTTTTCTAGAAACCATATAGGCTTCAACTTCAGTTGCCAAACCAGATTCCCCACCTTTTCTTCTTCTGAGGGATGATTCAAGTAGTTGCAAGCATTCCTTCATTGACGAAAAAACATCTCTGGTTGTGCCGCATACATCCAACAAGAGCAGTGATCCATTCAACAGCTCTTCTGCCCTTTCTTTGTGTTGTTCGTTGGAGAGGGTTTGTTGGGTTAGTGGCAACTGAAGAAAATCATCGACACACTCATACAAGACTTTGAGGCCACTCAATTTGTGGTAAACTGAAGTGGAAGTTGTTTGTGATGATCTCAACCTTTCCAATTGATTTTCAACACTAACATTTAGAGGATGAGATCTGGAGGGTAAGCTGATAGAGCGAACATGACAAGTAGCCATCTTATTCTTTAGCAGAAAATACTTGGATGCTGATGTTGATACAATTGATCTTCGGAGTTGTTGTTCAAGAAGTCTTCTCTGGGCCTCTTATATATAGAATGGGAAACAACAATAGGGAATGCAATGAATCCAGACTTGCATTTGCTGTCATTTGGCAAGTTTACTGACCATACCGACTTTCTCTCATCGTGGTTGTAGTTCAAGAAACATAATGCCAATAAAATAAGCTCAACTGATCATAAATTTACAAACAATAGTAGACAGAATATGATCATCACACCATATGCATAATTTGGCTGGAATCTCATCACGTGAAATGTTCTAATTTTAATCTTACAATGAAGTTCTTGGAGCCAATTGATTACTTACAAAAAGTCTCTGACAAAGTTGCTTCCTGCTTCGTTGACATGCTGCTCTACAATGAGGTATCAACTTCAATAATTAATATGTACAAAATAGATTAAATATGAAAACGTATAGCAAATAGGTGGATCTTGCTTAATCAGACACAAACCAGCTAGGATGATCACTTGTGTGCATTTAACAAATACATTCCATGTTTGATTGATCTATATCGTCGTACACGCACCACCAAGGCAAATTTAGATGCAAGCAATAGGCTGTCAAGATTCCAGTTGCTCCTCACCCTGTATATCAATGAGAGCTATTTGATACTTCCGAGCCTCGAAATCCATTTTCAATTTGAAACTCAAGAATAATAAATATATGTGTTGGGAAAATATGGGTGCAGTCCAATTGCGTGCATATATATTTTACTTGATTGATATGCTTATGCAGGGTGTCATGGCAATGAAGCAAGGAAACAATTTTGTCAGAGACCTGAATAACTGATCTATATTCATTTCATTATCATTAAAAAATAGTATTCGTAGCAATGGTTTCTTTATCTTTGCCTCTTTAATAGCACTTCACGAAGATATGATCGGTAAATTTCAGGATATTCAAATGTATCCTGCTGTTATGATAATTTTTCTGTCTGCAACATAGGGGTGTATGCTTTAATATCAAGAGTATTTTATAGGCAGCAAGCCGGGCTTGTCGGAAAAATGCAACACCTGACAGCAAATTCGAGTCTGGAACGATCGACTCGGAATTGATACTGTTGTTGCACATATAATGGATGCTAGAGGAGTTCGTTTAACTACTTTGAATTTCATCCTGCGTGCATCGCATGAGTGGAGGCCTTTTCTTCTGCTGGAGGAGAAGATGGATGCGTAATGAAAAAACAGCTCGATGGAGAATATATGAGGTGCTGCAACAAGACCAGAGAAAGAAGCTAAAACCGATGAAGTTGGCAGCAGGTAAATATCCGAAAGGCAACAACTGAGAGGAGAAGTACGCAGCTGGAAGGCAATTGAACACACTTTGCAAGAGCAAGTAGATGCTGACTTTGAATATCAGCCTGTTAAGAGAAATGAAACAGCCTGTCAATCAGAAGCAAAAAGTAATCTGCAAAAAACACCTAGAGCTTGGAGTAGGGACCAAAAATTGCAGATGTAACCGGTAGCAAAGCAGACAATAGCATCTAATCCGTAGTGCTGCATAGAAGTAGCAAGTAAAGTAACAGAAATATATAGAATAGCCTGCAGGTGCCAACATGGAAGGATCCACCATGTTTTGAAATACCATGAGAAATACAGGTAGCTATGCATTCTGAACCTTCAGAATCCAGTAATTGTGACACAACCAATCCATTGAAAAAATGTGGAGAAGTGTTCTCTTTCTGGCGTAATTTTTATAATTTCCATGGTCTGCCAGTGCATTTATGTAACCATCCGATCAAAAATTCCAACACGATTGAATAACAAGATAAGAAGGTGGATTAGTTGCCCTGCACGAATGTTTCCCAGAAGATGACAGGGCCGTATACAGGGAAACTTGGCTTGTGTGAAAATAACCATAACCCACGTCGGCTAAAACTAAAAGAGAAAAAGAGCTGAGGCTATAAATAAGAAGCATAGAGAAACTGCAGAACATACTTACCTGGACGGGGTCAATGGGCGATCATGAAGGTCCATGGCCTCGGTCAGTGACGTCTGTTGCACTTGGAATGGCTGCTGAGCATTTCTTTCTCGCTAGTTCTTTCCACTGGTCTTGCATTTCTTCCTCACTAGTTCTTTCCCATGATAATTACTGTACATTCATAGTTTCTTCAATGAACAGATTGGAGTATGGGCGTTTGCCTAATAAAATTATTAGCCTGTGGTGAGCACAAACCGAACTATTCTTTAGCCTTTTACTAAAGAATACGTATGCCATCCACAGATAGCGGCACACGCCATTTTTTGAAGGGTTCTCTTCCCTTGAAAGAGAGCGCCTGCCCAATAGTAGTCTAAGTTTGTCTTAAAGTCACAATTTCATTTAGTTAATAACTAACGTTTTTGATAATTGTAGTTGCTGAAGTAGTATTTCAACTCTTAATTAGATGATGCATGGTTGTCCTGGCTAACATCAGTTAGTCCCGTCCCCCCCCTCTCTGTAGCAGAAGAATGATGACAAGAGGAATTCCATCCTCCTCTAGAGCTTTTAATTGTTTATCATGCGGTGAGTTGGCAGTTCTGCCAATGCTGTGTCCCGGTCGGATCTCGAGAAGAGAAATCCCATAAAAGAAATACTGGAAGAATATTTAAAGACTTGCACGAGCACTTTGCCACCATGACTCTCAGACAGTAGTTGACCATCACAATATTAATTTGATTTGAATCTTATTATACAGATTGCGCAGATCTTCATGTCAGGATGATGTGTTATATAGGGTCATATTTAAAATACATGCAGGCCGTGCGTGTGATCTTGATGAATAATAATAATATCCAACCATCCGCCGATGAGAATTCATCACGGCATTGATTTAACTACATGCCACCAAAAAATCAATACTCTGATGAATTAACCTTTGAAGACAAGCTGAAATTTGTAAAGGGAAATTAAAAAAAAAAAAAGATCCCAGAACACAAATTACCCAAAATATTAAAAGAAAATAGAGATATACTACCGATTATAAAATATTACAGAAATTAAAAAAAAAAACATCTTGCCCATAAACCATTTATTGTTGATACCATTTATTGTTGATATTCTACATACTAGTCTATCAATGAAGGCAGCAAGTCCTTCAAGAATTCAACCTCTCAACGCTAGTCAAACCTGAAAAATAAAAGATCAAGAACAGTAAGTAAGTTACATAGTTTAAAGAATCTGAAAGAGAGAAAGGAATGGGAAAGCTTTACTTACGAGCAGTTCATTGTTTCAGAAATCGGGAAACGAATATCTGTGTGGCACTTCTTTGGTAGCTTTTTGATTCGTGAAGGTTTTAAGTGAAAATCTTGAGGAACCATGTAGGCTTCAATGCAAAAGCAGACCACCTTTGGTCCCTTTTTGGCTTTCTTAGCTATTTCATTGAGCTTTCTGATGCCGTGACAGCATTTTTTTGGCAGGTGATGGGTTAAACCACCCAAATACTCAGCACAGTCAGGGAAGTAACCCCATATCGGCGAGCATATTGCGTCATAAGGGTCGTCGTCGGATGCCATTATGTTGATGAATCTAGAAACCATGAGGGCAAGCACTAGACTCCTAACAAAGGCAGCCATTGCTGTGTTTTTTTTTTTTTCAAGAGTTAGAATTGAGTTATTGATGGTTGTGAGATAGGGTTACATATATAATAGAAGCATCATATCTATTTTTGGAAGATTCTGTTGGCTTGACTGCCATTATTCTCCATGATTTTCGGACAATTAATGTTTCATCACTCCATAATACAAACTTTTCATAAATTCTAATCTTGATTAATTAAATTGGGTAAGATTTTCATATTTTGATCTTTTTTAAATTCTTGAAAACTATTTTGAAAATTTATATTAAGAAAATAAAAATCAAGATATTTAAAATCTATGATACATTCAACAATATGGATCAATCGAGTCAATCATTTGAAGGATGTGATTAAGCAATTCAATCAAAAGTCATTGAGGGAATAAATAAAAAAAATTAAAATTATTTTTTCAATATTTTCTTGATCGTTTATTTTTATAATAATTCGTTCATCACTATTATAAAATCTTTTAAATGAGATGAATGTACAACTTTTCATTATTAGAAGTTCTTGCTTGTCTAGACGCAGTATTTAAATAATACTAAAACAATATTATGATAATTATAAAAAAACATATTTCTCATGAAAAGAGAATTTAAAATTTCAAAGAGAACAATCAAGGATGATACAGATTATGATGCTTCATCTATTATGAAATTAATTATATTATTGTTTCTTTAAACTAAAATTGTGATATTAAATTTATCATAACCTAATTTTTAGATTTATAATTGACATATAGATAAAATTTTCCTCCGGGTTTTTATATCTATATAAATCTAAACTTATATATCAATTTTTACATTTAAACAAACTAGAGTTCTACATATCTTTTAATTCCATAATTAAATTACAAAATATAAATCAACATCTTAATACAAGAGTTAATACAAGTACCGTAATTTTAGAGCTCTAACTAGATATAATAGAATAACATTAATTAAAATTAAAAAGCATATTTTGAAGCACAACAAAAATGATTTGCTAGCAAAACTACAAGTTTGAAAATGATAAATAACGAGAGAATGAGTTCAATAACTCAATGAATATATAGATAGAGTTCAATAAACATATACAAAATAATAATACAAAGAAAGATATGTACAAATTTGACTTTATACTTTCATAAGAAAGCTTTACAAATAAGCTATAACAAGGAATATTATAAGATAAGACTTGTCATAAAATAAAAATGCAATGAGCATGTAGCTCTAGATTGTGAGATGATCAGTTTGTATGGGTTGATGACTCATTCGACTACCTAGGCTTCAGATATGATGTGCATAAATACTAACATTGTCTTGTTAATATGAGTTGGCATACCAAAGGGTCATATCATAATCAAGCAAATAGAATTATATCTCGATGTTCAACTTATGACATCAATGAAATGAGAAATTATCAAACTAAACATACACATATCTCATATTCAGAATTCATATTTAATAAATGATCATGTTTAAAATGATATATATTATCAAGAAGTATTATCTATTTCATGCATATATTATCAAGAAGTATTATCTATTTCAGGCTAACAATTCAAATATTTATATTATTTCTCATACATATGTAATATTATTCACTCATTTGACTTCAAAGCATAACAAATATAGAAGTAAGTATTGAAAAAATCATATTGATGTCCAATAAGTGGAATATCAAGAATATTTTAGAACAAAAGAAGACATACTAAAAAAAAACTCAAAAGGAACATAAGTTTAATTTAATACACTTAACTTATGATCTAACTTATAACCTTATACGTTTAGGAACCAAAATAGTTTTTTTTTCAAAAAAATTCAAAAATCAAACCATTGCATGAAATCTAATTTAAAAGAAAACAAATCAAAATACTTGATAATAATTCACCAATAAACCTTTATTATTCATTAAAACCAATATGAAAAAATAGAATTACAATTAGGGATTAATTTGGATTTTCCACCGAATTTTAGATGTCAAATTGTAATTTTACCAGATTGGAGGACCAAACCAAAAATATCATAAATCCATAACTATACTGAAAATTTACCCATAATCATCCTCAATTCTTTCTATCTTGAATTTTTCTATAGGGACCAATTTGCAACTTTTTTCAAAGTTGGGGTGTAAATTGTGATTTTCACAAATGAAAAACCAAACTGAAATTTTATCATCCTCAATCTTAAGACACAAGGTGCTTTTGTTCAGTATTTCCAAAAAGGGATTTTCACAATTTCTTACACTTGATACATCAATTAAACTAATTAATCTCAAAATCATGATTCCTAACAAAATCATCTAAAAACCAACCAATTAAACAATTAAATATAACAATTAATCCATAACATTTCAATTAACTCATCAATCTAATTCAAATCATAAACTTTAAAACCTTAAATCTTAATAATTTTGTAATTTTAATTAATACCAACAATTATGCATATCAAAACATAAATCTTACTTTTTTGAACTTATTTTCTTTAACTTTATTCTTCTTTTCCACACTCAGTTTTCTCTCTTCAAATTAGATTCTCCTCATTTTTCTTTTGTTTTTCTCTTTTTATTTATATTTATCAAGTGTTAAGCAAATTACCAAAGTTTCCTTCAATAATTTATACCTAAGACTTGCTCCTCCAATGTATTGTTGTCATTTCCTATTAAACCTTTTTCTATTCATTTCAAAATATTACAGGGTTAGCATGGACTGGTGTATGGTATATTGATCTTAATACCCTTACAAGTACAGTATGTCTACAACCATGCAAAACAGTTTTACAAAATTGTTGCAAGGAATGAAAGCAAAGCTACCCCATCTGGAGATGAACATCAGCTAGTGGCTGAGAATGTTGAGAATGGAAACTCTGGTTTTCAGCAATTTCCTGTAAACAGCCTCCAGCTCCTCCTCTGCTTCATGAATGACTGACTCTAATAGCTCTAGTTCTTTCAATATATTTTGCACTTGTATAGGATTGATGTCTTTGCCTGACTTCAGGACAAGCAACTCAGCATCTATCATTTCCAGTTTGGTGGCTTCGCCTTCGCATGATGCACGTTTGGATTGAAATAATTTTGAAACGACAGACCAGCCACGGGAGCTTGATGTTGTCTTTGGCTGAGAAACTAAAGACAAGAGAGATTGGAAAATTTCCAGTGTTATTTCTTTAACGTCTCTTAGCATGCCGACTGCATGGACTGCTGAAGTGTTGTTCTTCTCCATGCTCTTCAAATTTCTGAAGCATTTGCGGGTTGTTTTATTTAATTGTTTCCTAGACACCACGTAAGCCTCAATTTCACTTGCGATGCCAGATTCCCCACCTTTTCTCCTCCTGAGGGATGATTTTAGTCTCTTAAAGCGTTCTTTCATTGATGAGAAAACATCTTGAGTGTTGCTGCACACATCCAACAACAGCAGAGATCCATTCAACACCTCTTCTGCCCTTTCTTTGGAGAGTGTTTGTTGCGTCAGTGGTAACTGAAGAAAATCATCTACGCACTCATGCAAAACTCTGAGGCCCCTCGCTTTTTGGTAAACTGAAGTGGAAGGTGTTTGTGATGATCTCAACCTGTCCAATTGATCTTCAACGCTTACACTTAGAGGATGAGAAATTGAGGGCCAGCTGATAGAACGAACATGACAAGTAGCCATCTTATCTTGCTGGGAAGAAGTCCTGTTACTGATGCTGATACCAGTGATCTTGGAAAATGATGTTGAAGACTCCTCTTCTGGGCCTATTATACAGAGACAAAATGCATGCATCCAGACTTGCAATTGCTGTCACATGGCAGGTCGTCTTCTGACAATGCCAACTTTATCTCATCAATAATGTTGTGGTTCAGGAAGCATAATCCTAATAATATACCTCCAAATGATTCAAACAATATTATCATGCCTCCTTGTAACCCACACAGAAATATGATCAGCACACCATATGCATAATTTAGCTGGAATATTAAATCTCAAATCTCAGAATGTAGTCTTTGGAACCATTCATAATGCAGATAAAAGAATTTGATGGTAATTTTCAAATGATTTATTACATCGAATGAAAGAACAAGTAGGACGGGTAAAAATTGCTGTACTTGCCCAACTCATGACTCGAAAATACGAGATATAAAAGAATACACATCTGTAGCGTTAATTAAAGATTCAAGATAAGAACAGAAAGGTTTGATTTATTTTGTTATATATTTTGTGTCTAATATCTTATATATCGTATGTGACTATCAAAAAATATATACAACAAGATATTTGTATCCGCTCAATCCTTTTAGTAAGAGATTGGGCCGAGTTTAATTTAATCGGAAAATGAAAATTTTGGACATGCTGCTCTACAACAGGGAATCAACATGAATAATTAAAGATGAAAGGTAGAGCAAACAGATGGATCTTGCTCCATCACGCGCCAACCAGCTTGTAATTATCACTTATGTTCAATCATTAACAAAATACATCTCATGTTGATTGACCTAGCTATATCACACGTGCATCACCGTACGTGTCATTGCTGTCAAGATTCCAGTTGCTCATCGCCAACTACATCAATGAAAGCTATTTCCGAGCCTCATGATCCCTTTCGATGCTCGAGCCGAATTAATATATTTGTATGGATGACATCGCAGCAGTCCAATCCACTTTTTTGCACCAATATTTTAGTTGATTGATGCGCTTATGCAGGGTGTCATGGCAATGAACCAACAAACATTTTGTCAGGTATCTGACTTTTTCCCGTTTCATTAACATTACGAGATGATATTATCAGCGATGGTTCTTCTCTTTGCCTCTTGAATTGACAATTGCATTATGAGATGATGTAATAATAATTTTTCTGTCTGGGATTCATCAGCACATATGCTGATATTTTTGGATTATCTTATTGCCGGTAATCATCTTGAACTGTAGCAATGATGACAGAAAGCTGGTCGCTGTCGGAGAAAGCAACTCATGGCAGCAAATGCAAGGCTGGAAGGGAATTTGACCGGCTAATTCTTGCTCTATATATAATAGAAGCTCTAGGAGTTGGTTTAAACAACTTCGAAGTTTGAACTGTATTACATCACCCATTATTCACATCATTAATGTAGGCTTTCTTCTGCTAAAGGGGAAGATCAAAGATGGATGTTTTGATTGGAACCTCCAAGGCTTCTTGCCATGTTCGCTCCATCAGTTTGCCTTCAGAATCCCATCCCCTAACTCAGAGTGTTAAGGTGCGGTTGGGAAGGTTGAGATCCTCAAAAGAAACATCCTTATTGAATTGCCAAGGATTAAGTGGCCTCCTCAAGAGTTTATACGAAAGCGTGGACGATTTTCTTCAATTGCCACTCACCTACCAAGCTATCTCAAATGTGCACCATCAAGGATCGGTGGATGAGGTCCTGGATAGATCTCTCAGGTTGCTAGAGGTGTGTGGCGCAACGAAAGATATCTTTTCACAGATGAAAGATTGCTTAAAGGACCTGAAGTCCTCCATCCGGAGAAAGAGAGGAGAATCTAGCTTGGCAGGAGATATCGAAGCATTTATGATCTCTAGAAAAAAAATGAAGGAAGTGATCTCTAAGTCCAAGTCCTTTAGAAGTTTGAAGACAATGGAGAAGGATATATCAGTAGCCCAAGACAAAGACACAACCTTAGTGACCCTAACAAGAGAAGTTGAAGAGATCAGTGTTGCTGTGTTTGCATCCCTCTTGTCTTCTATTTCTCTGACACCAAAATCAAAGGGAAATGGCTGGTCAGTTGTTTCAAAACTACTCAAGTCCAGAAGAACAGTTGATGCCAAAGAAGTTGGAATGATAAATGCCGAGGTTCTTCCCTGGAGATCAAGCAAAGACATTAGTCTTGTACAGGTCCAAAACTTATTGAAACATTTGGAGGCATCACAGTCAAGTATTCAAGAAGTAGAAGAGGAGTTGGAGTTCGCCTACAGGCTATTACTGAAAACTAGAGTCTCTCTCCTTAACATTCTCACCCACTAGTTTAATCTTGGGCAGTTTTTGCTTCTATCAGCTGCCCATTATACAGATTTATTTGTATCATACAATTTTGGTACATAGAAAAATAATCAACATACATAAATTTAGCAGCAACATCTCTCTCGCTCTCTTCAGCAATTAATTTTGAAATAATCTTGAATTTCTTACAGCACACTAGCACAGCCTCAGTCTCAGCTAAAATAATCTTGAAATTCTTGCCGTACATTGATCTCCAAATAATCTTGAAATTACAGTAGACTAGGACAGCCTCAGCTGAATTCAGAGCCCTAGCCGAACGTTCGTTTTATGGGCCTAAAAAGGGAAGACTCGTGTCGTTATTGGACCGAAAAATGTCAAATTGACTTTAGGCCACGATGTGAAACACTAGCCTAACGGGCTAATATTATTTCTTCGGAGTACCCAAATGGGCTTGAAAAAATGGGCCTAAAAGGTGCAACTTCGGAAACACTGCCCCATTGAAAATGAGAACCACCGATGGCGGACAGGCCGAGGCTTTGTTAATATTTCTTAAAAAAAAAAAAGTTATTCTCTTAGTTAGTCAATAATTCGCTTTTACTCTCAAGTTCGAAATTTTTCAATATTAGCTCTGATTTTTTTTAAAAAAAAAAGTTTCATTTGTTCCTTTATGCTAAAAATAATAGGTTATTTTTTCATATTTTTTATTTGATTTATACATAATTATGTCTCATTTCCCCCTCCATACCTCATGATATATATAGTGAAAACATAAAGAAAATTTTGTATTAAAAAAATCAAAATCAAATTTAAAAGATAAAAGATGTGTTATTTAATATAGCTGTCAAAGAAATACTACTTTTAAAAAGATATCGTGATTGAGTCAATCAATTTTGTTAAAATAATAACATTATTTTTATTTTTTTCTTGATTTTTAAATTTGATTGAGTCAATTGAATTAATAAAAATATGATTAAACCAACCCAATCTTACTAAGTAAATATTTTATTTGATTTAATTAAAAACTTGATTTGAATTTTTTTAATTAATACCAAATTTAAATTTCCCAAATCAATATACCAGGCCAAGCCAAGTTTAAAAATTATTTCATTTAATGATTAAGGGTCATGATGGATCTTTTTGAAACTAAAAGAAGGGTAATATTGAAACTTTCAAACTGAAGGGGGGCAACAATGAAATATACCCTAAATTAAAATGCCGATCTGCTGCATATAAATTGCAGGAAACTTGAAACAAGTGGATATTGTATTGTACACGTAAATACTTCTCACACAACACCAAGTTCATGGCTCCTTTTTAATCCACTTGGATTCCAAATCAAAATTGAACAAAAATTAATTTTCTCTTAGAAAATTCTAAGAGATAAATATAAAGCAAAGACACACCACAGAGTGTCAAAGACTCAGACAGAACATCCCAGAAAACCAGAGCATGGCATCATCAACTACAAACCCTTTACTCACTTCAAACTTCTTTGGTTCCCGAAGCTTGCCTTGTCCCAAAACAACCAGACCCTCCTTATCCTTCCTTCTGCCCAAAAATTTTCAGAAAATTGTGAATGAAAAGAATCATGAGTCTTTAAAATCCCTTCAGTCACAAGCAACCATAGCTACTGCCTTAATCTTCTCTTCTTTAACCCCTCAGGCGCTAGCAATTGACAACCCTACACCACCACCTACTCCTCCTCCTGTTATTGAAGCCCAGCCCACCAGACCATCCTCTACTCTCGCTCAAAATCTTCTCTTAACAGCTCCGAAACCCCAGTCTCAGTCAACCTCTGACCTTCCTGAAGGTAGTTAATGGCGGTACAGCGAGTTTCTGAATGCGGTCAAGAAAGGGAAAGTGGAAAGAGTTCGTTTCAGCAAAGATGGTTCTGCCCTACAACTCACCGCCGTAGATGGTCGTCGTGCCACCGTTATTGTCCCTAATGACCCTGATCTGATCGACATTTTAGCGATGAACGGCGTTGATATTTCGGTTGCCGAGGGGGATTCTGGTAATGGGCTCTTTAATTTTATTGGAAATCTTTTGTTCCCTTTTCTTGCTTTTGCTGGTTTGTTTCTCTTGTTTCGACGGGCGCAAGGTGGGCCAGGTGGACCCGGTGGGTTGGGTGGACCGATGGATTTTGGCCGGTCGAAGTCGAAGTTTCAAGAAGTTCCGGAAACCGGTGTGACGTTTGCTGATGTGGCCGGAGCTGATCAGGCTAAATTGGAGTTACAAGAGGTGGTTGATTTCTTGAAAAATCCTGATAAGTACACAGCCTTAGGAGCTAAAATTCCTAAAGGGTGTTTATTAGTTGGGCCGCCAGGGACTGGGAAGACATTGTTGGCTAGAGCTGTGGCAGGAGAGGCGGGGGTGCCGTTCTTTTCGTGCGCAGCCTCGGAGTTTGTTGAGTTGTTTGTTGGAGTCGGGGCGTCAAGAGTGAGAGATTTGTTTGAGAAAGCAAAGTCAAAAGCGCCCTGCATTGTCTTTATTGATGAAATTGATGCGGTTGGGAGGCAGAGAGGGGCTGGACTAGGAGGGGGGAATGATGAGAGAGAGCAGACTATTAATCAGTTGTTGACTGAAATGGATGGATTTTCGGGTAATTCAGGTGTTATTGTGTTGGCTGCTACAAATAGACCCGATGTTCTTGATTCGGCTTTGTTGCGACCGGGAAGGTTTGATAGACAGGTTACAGTCGATAGGCCTGATGTCGCTGGTAGAGTCAAGATTCTTCAGGTAAGTTCAACAATGTCAACCAAGTTGTTCTATTCCTCGTAAAGATGTATGGAGGACACAGATTAGGAAAAGGAAACAAACAATTGAAGTAGAATGTGTTTGCGTGCATGTGTTTTTGTCCTGTCTTGTCTATTAAGAGGCAGTAGTTCAGGGCAGCTAAACTCTGAATGTTAATATTGGTGTTATTAGATAAATTCTCTGCAAAATGATGGTTTTCTGGTCTAGTTATTAATTGGTCCGACACTGCATACTAAATAAATTTTGTATAATTTGATATGTTTGTTTCTAGAGAAAAATGGACTGTTCTGAATTGGTGTGATTATGGATACTAGATTGATTTGTCTGATAATGCATTCTAGAATCAGGTTGTTTTGTAAGCCTGTCCCATTGTCTACAAATTCTGTTCTTGCTTGACCTTAGAATAGTGAACAATTTTACTTTCATGAATTATAGGTGCATTCTAGAGGGAAGGCACTTGCAAAGGATGTGGATTTTGAAAAGATTGCACGGAGGACCCCAGGATTTACTGGAGCTGATTTGCAGAACCTGATGAATGAAGCAGCCATTGTTGCAGCTAGGCGTGACCTTAAGGAAATAAGCAAGGATGAGATTTCTGATGCCCTGGAGAGGATAATTGCAGGACCGGAAAAGAAAAATGCTGTTGTCTCGGATGAAAAGAAAAAATTAGTTGCCTATCACGGTAAGCATGATAACCTTTTGGCCTTTCCTCTAGTCTCTTGTTATATCCCAGGATTCAATTTTGTTAGGCTAATTATGTGTGTTACTCTCCATTTGCAGAGGCTGGGCATGCCTTGGTTGGTGCACTTATGCCTGAGTATGATCCTGTAGCCAAGATATCCATCATTCCCCGTGGTCAAGCTGGTGGTCTAACATTCTTTGCTCCAAGTGAGGAAAGGCTCGAGTCTGGATTGTACAGTAGAAGCTACCTGGAGAATCAAATGGCTGTTGCACTTGGTGGAAGGTTAGTTCTACTCGTATTGATTGGGCTATTTCCTGGGGAAAAATTGTAGCAAGGCATATGAGTACTTTCCTGCTCTTCAAGTTGCTATTCTAGAGTGAGCAAGCAGCATCAAATTTCCCTTTAGTTTGGACCTTAGTTGAACTGCGAGCTTTATTTTTTGAGTTAAATAGATTTTATGAAAATAAGGGAATTGCCAGTGTTTTACCGAACCTACGATTTTTAATTCTGTCTCATCTCAAATGCAGGGTTGCCGAGGAAGTGATTTTTGGTCAGGAAAATGTGACTACTGGAGCATCCAATGATTTCATGCAAGTTTCACGTGTGGCAAGGCAGATGGTTGAGAGGTTTGGGTTCAGCAAAAAGATTGGTCAGGTTGCCATTGGTGGACCTGGTGGAAATCCTTTCTTGGGTCAACAGGTAGGGTTTGTGCTTGAAGTTTTATTGCCTTCTCCGTTCACTAGCTTTCTCGTATTCACCATTTCCAACTCTTCTACAACAAGAACATTGGATTAAGACCCCCCTTGTGTTCCAATCACAGATGTCATCCCAGAAAGACTACTCCATGGCGACTGCTGATGTGGTGGATGCAGAGGTAAGAGAGTTGGTGGAGACAGCTTATACAAGAGCCAAGCAAATCATCACAACTCACATTGACATCCTCCACAAGCTTGCTCAACTCCTCATAGAAAAAGAAAGTGTTGATGGAGAAGAGTTCATGAGTCTCTTCATTGATGGAAAAGCTGAACTATATGTTTCCTGATTGCAATTTTTAAGTATCTAAACCATGTTGTCTTATAAGTTAAACATACACACATACACAAAAAATCAATTATTCTTTATTTATGAATTTTGTAATATGAAGGCCAAGAATTTGTAGAGGCAAGATTCTGGTACTAGTTTTTAAAATCGTTGCTTTTCTCATGATGTGATGTGAAAAAACCGTTCGATTTTATATTTTAAAAGTTTCTTTAAAAAAATATTTTCTTTTTGCTTTATTTTTTTTTAAATAATATTCTTATACTATGTTAAAAATAAATTATAAAAAATATTATTTTAATACATTTATAAAGAAAAAATATTTTTAAAAACAACTATAATAATAATAATAATTATTATTATATTAATTATATTGCCTAAAGGGTGCCAATGTCCTTGGAACCCACCATTTATCTGATCATGTCCTCCGAGCGTTCTCCGTTTCTCGCCGAACATCCTGCCAGTTTTCCCCCCGAAGATTCTATTCTCTCTTGGCAATCTTTCAGCGTGCATTTCCTTTCAGATTCTGTTCGTGAAACTTCTTTGT